ACTCCAAGTCCCGGGGATTAGGTTGCCGGTTTCCACCACTGAACAGCAGGTCCCCTTTACTGTGGGGTTCGCCCCGTCTGCTGTTCATTGCATTTAAGTGTAAAAAAACTGTTCACTCTATCTCAGGTGGACTAAAATACGCAAGCGCTGATAGTCGAAAACTTCTATCCGATGAAAATCGACTTGGAAATTCAAGGTCTCACAAACAAAACAACTGAACGAGCAGTAGCAAAGTATACAGGACCTTTCAACTTCAGTGAAAAGTCCCGTCTACTCCAAAGGTGGGAAAAGCAATGGACTATAACTAATTTCTGACTATGTGGTTTCAGAACGGGACTTATCGACACCCAGTCCTGCTGCCTCACTTTGCACTTGGAAGATGCGAACCGCATGCGGAATGGAAGAACAGAATTTACTACTCTGTCAAGTGCGCTTTTTGCATCGTCCATGTATTGGAACAGACAAACGGTGTCCTCAGCGTACTCTAAATCGCACAGCCTTTCTCCAGCTGCCCATTGAATACCAGCATTTTGGTGACCATTAAATGTGTTCCAGTATTTCGTCTACGACGAAATTAAACAGGAACGGTGAAAGAAAGCACCCTTGGCTAACGTTGCTGCTGGTGGCGAACTGTCTTCTGAGTTCGGTTTAGCGCCTCACTCGACCAGGGGTATGTGGGTACAGTATCCGTGGTAAGTTAACGTACATCCTACGGCATCCCTTTTCTAGAAGAGAACCCATCAGAGCTTCGCAGTTAGCTGAGTCGAAGACTACTTTCAGGCCAGCGAACACTGCAATCGTTATTCGACGGAGCTTGTGACACTACTGAAGGCTCAGAAGTACAAGCTGTAATCGCTGCGGAATGCATTACTCGGTTAATCTGATCCCATTGCTCATCTACACCGCTTTGGGGAAACTTAGCTCACGCACTAGCTCTGACTCATAGCGCCCACGTACTGCTGGGATAGACAAGCGATGATGAGGTTTGCGGTTATATATATCGTTGGCAATAAGTAGTATGTGAATGACTGGACAAAATTTTCCCGGAATCACACGACCGGTTCCGCGGTTCTTGCCGCTCGTCAGGCATGTGTCCGGTAGTTTTTTGTCTTCCATTCATATACTTGTACCAAGGAAATGTATTTTCGTCATAATTACCTCATTTGCACACCGGGAAAATTTGTTTCGACTTCTCTTCCAGAACCAAACCATTGAAGAAACAATACAATTATTCGAATATTTGTAGATGGGTTGGATGCTACTAACTGCAGCAAACGCGGCTTAAGCGTCCCGGTGTTGCAAATTCGGTTATTGGGACGAACACATTTCCTGGGGTGCAAAATATGAAGGTGCTGTCCCGTCCACGTTCCGCTTGTCTCATTGGGTGTATAAGACTAAAGGCCAATCCCGAACAGCGGACCGATAATCAACGCACCAGCGAACAACACACTGAATCGAAACCCGAAGGCTTTGTGTGACAGGTCTATAGAAACTCCCAAGCGGGCACTTCGGTCTGGCCCCCGCGTTGGATTTACTCCCTACTACCTTTTGGGTCAAACTTTTGGCTCCGATTAGAGTTCTTCAGGAAAAACCCACGAATTTCCGCTACCTTGAGGGTTCAACTTTTGAGTCAAAGGCTCCAGTTAAGGTTCCCAAAGAAAACTCGCGGAGTATGTCTTGCCCTAATATCTTAGGCACTTATTTTGAAAACGTCTCCGATCTGTCTAGTTCTTCTTCTGAATCCCAAACAATCCCAGATGCCTCCTGTTTACGCCAGCATTTTTCCAGTGGGATCGAACTATCAGAAGTTACAGGATGTCTGCAGCTAAAATTCTCTTTTCACTTAACCACATTCAACGTCAGCTCACTACCAGATCGGTTAATAAGCTGCCTTATCTAGAACCCTCGAGATTTTGATTTTACACTTATGTTGTGTCCCCGAAACATGCATGCAATACTCTACTTCAGTCATCTCCCTGTGTCCTCCTTACACAACCTCATTCTTTTTGCTGTAGGCAGCTTTGCTGCCAAGGTTGAGCGCTCGCTTCTTGACTGGATTCCAGTCAGTAGCAAACTGTGCGCTGTGCGTCTCTAAGGTATGCATGCACAGTTGGGTAGTGCACTCTGTGTTAATCGTTGAGATTCACTTTCTTCCCTCCAGTTAGGCTCGATCTCTCCATCTTGTAATTTATCGTTTGATTTGTGTACATTGTGAGCTTGATAACAATCACCGAAGTTCACTTCTCTGTATCTCGCTGTGCGATGATGATTTACGTCTCAACGATTCACTACGGGTACATAGCTACAGAACGAAGCGTCGATGCTTATTCGTCGTATCGATGTGTGCCCCCACCCGATTGAAGTACATCTGAAGCCGAGGAGGAACTCTTTTTTATAACACACTTGTGTGATGAACAGCAGACAGAGCGAACCCCATAGTCACGAGGACCTGCTGTTCTGCTCTTCATTTATCTTTCTCGATTACTCCAAAGTGTTCCATCAAGGAATGTCGTAGTACTCGCCGGACACTTCAGTGCTCAAGTGGGATCCATGAAGAATCAGATATGCTTCTTGGCGGACCACATACCATCCCAGTCAACCGGAAGGACAACAGAGATCGCCTGCTTTAACTCAGCGCGGACCACGGACTCTTCCTGTCAAATACGAACTTCTCGCCAAAGAGACGATACCGCCTTACATAGAAACCGCCAACCTCTTCACAGCGCTGAACCCCAATGGACCACGTCGCCATTAGTCACCGCTAGAGAGGATCGATTCAAGACTGCCGTTCTTACTGGTC